TCCCAGCCTCCTCCCTCTCCAGCCTCTTCCCTCTCCCAGCCTCCACCCCCCAGCCTCTTTCCTCTCCAGCCTCTACCCTTTCCCAGTCTCTACCCTCTCCAGCCTCCTCCCTCTCCCAGACTCCATCCTCTCCAGCCTCCACCCTCTCCTTAGCCCCTACCCTCTCCATCCTCCACCCTCTCCCAGCCTCTACCCTCTCCAGCCTCCACCCTCTCCAGCCTCTTCCCTTTCCCAGCCCCACCCTCTTTCACCTGCTGCCCTCCCTCCTTCCTGGGCAAGAGGACAGACTCTCACCTTCTCCAATTGACCTGCCACCTTTTTCTTTTTCTCGTCCTGAAAACAGAAGGCATAAAGGGTGAGGGTCACACAGATGAAGGGAGCTAGGAAACAGAAATGCATTGCTCGGGGAAGGCCCATCTTTGGGAACCAAAGGGAGTGGCTACTCTGATGGAACTGGGGACAGAGGCTAGAGTGATCCTTTACATACTTTCTTAATTTCTGGAGTAGCAGAGTCTTTTGGAGGCTGCGTGGGCTGGCTTGGTTTCTGGGCATGTTTGCTCCAGGCTCTGGGTTTTGTCGGGTCCCCGAACGACTTGCAGAACTCCACCTGTGTGGGAAAGAGTGATTTTAGCACCTGCCACGGCACCCAGGTTGGGTGCTGTCCTTCAGCACCTGGGAGCTTGGGCATTTGAGACAACTGGCACTTCCTAGCTGAGTTTGCTGAAGTAGATTACACCTCACCCCTTAGCCTGGGCTTTCTTCTCCTTCAAGTCTAGAATGTAACACTTTAACGGTCTATCACTATGAGTAATACCATAAAGATAATAACTGCCACTTACTGAGGAATTCCACATGCCAGGTGCTGTCTAAAGTGCTGTGCAAGTACTGACACACTGAGGCCTCTCACATCAGTGACAGCCAGGACTTTCTACAATTCAGACCAAGAATTTGAAGCACCAGGAAGTCAATTGCCCTGGGTTACCCAGGTAGTAAGTGACAGAGTGAAGACTGGAACTCGGAGAGTCTCTGGGCTCTGCAAGCTGAGTTCCTAACCATCCACTCTACAGGGCGGCATGAGGATGGCATGAGATGACTTCGGCCAAGCACTCAACCAGGGTCTGGGCAGGGCAACGTGCGGCAGCAGCTACCAGGGTTACCCCACACTGCCCTGGGGTAATTATCATAAGGTGAGCTCCTCAGGCTCCAGAGAACAATTCGAGAGTGATAGGGACAATGGGGTGACCAGTGGAGGCACGGAAGAGGAATGGAGACCCGGCCTGAGCCGATGATGCCCTGTTCCAGCCCCAAAACCTCCAATACGCTCCTCTGAAAAGGCTTTGAGAGCGCTGGTTATTGGGGCATCCGTCACCGCAAGCCACTCCCAGCCACAGTTAACCACTGCCCCCAGGGGAAGGAGCTGCTAGCTGGTTGCAACCTATTTTGTTTTTAAGACAGAGGATCTCATTGCATTATGCAGGCTGTACTGCAGCGGCATGATCACGGCTGACTGCAGCCTCAAACTCCTGGGCTCAAGTGATCCTCTTGTCTCAGCCTTCTGAAGAGCTAGGATTCCAGGCACAAGTCACCATGACTGGCTAATTTTTTTATTTTTGTAAAGACATGGTCTTGCTCTGTTGCACAGGCTGGTCTCGAATTTCTGGCCTCAAGTGATCCTCCCATCTCAGCCTCCCAAAGTGCTGGTGTCACAGGCACAAACCAGCACACCTGGCCGGTTACAATCTCTTGTGCACACTTTCAAAATAGGCTTGTTATTTCTATAAGAATGACATGTGCTCGTGGTACAAAATTCAAATACTATACAAAAGTACAAAGTTAAAAAAACTGTACTCCAATGCCTATTAGTTATAGAAAGGAATGATTAGTATTTTGGTACAAATCCTATCTTATGGCCTTTTATGCATTTATCATACATGTATGGATGGAGAAATATGATTGCGTCTACATGGGATCACACCAGACATACATGGATTTGTCCATCATGTTTTTTCCTTCTCAAGAAAGCATTAGAGATGTTTTTACAAAGTCACTAAATACACACGAGTGGCCTGAGTGGAGCCCCCTCCTCCAGGAAGCTTTCCTGACTCCTCCCTGGCCAGGCTAGAGAGCTTTGTTCTCCCACGGTCCCTGGGGCTCACCCTATCACAGCATGGATGACACTCAGCCAAAGCGGCATGCTGACCTGTCAGCCCCCCTGCCTGCCCAGAGGTAGCTGGCTCCAGGAGGACAGGGGCTGAGGCATCACCTTTTTCTCTAAATTCCCTGCAGCATTAAGTGCTTGCTAAAGGCAGGAGTGAATGAATGAGGTACAGCTGTGGCTCTCAAGGTGTGGGCCTCAGACCAGCAGCATGGGCATCATCTGAGAGCTTGCTGGATGTGTGGATTCCTGGGTTCTGCCTCCATGCACTGAATCAGATTCTCTGGGGACGGCCCCAGGAAACTGTTATAACAAGCTCTCCGGTGGTTCTCATGCACATGAAAGTAGGTGAATCAGTGAGAAAGAAGACCAAAGACATCACAAAGTGAAGGGGACAGTCTTTGAACTCAAGGGTTGAGTGAAAGATCAAACAACGTCCCATTCCACAGGCAGGTAAGGGTGAGACTCCCGCCCACTCACTGTGATCCGGGATGTGTCAATAAAGCTCTTGTTAAAGTGCTTCAGTGCCTTTTGGGCCTCTTCCTCCGTCTTGAAGCCGATAAAGCCAAACTTGCGGAACTTGCCATCTTTGGTGAACTTTAGGCTGCAGTCCGTCAGCGTGCCAAAGGCGGCAAACAGCTGCCTGAAACGCTCCTCCTTCATCTAGGACAGAGAGGAATGAGAGATGAACTGGAAAGTCCCCAGAGCACGGGGACAAAATGGGCTGGAAACCTGAGGCCACGAGATTCTCTAAGGGAGGCCTTAGATGAAGAGGGGCAGAGTGTGCTTTTCTAGTTAGAAACAGGTTCCAGCTCTGACTCTAGCGGGCTGTGTGGCCTTGAAAAAGTCCCTTAAACACTCACTGATGTGGAAATCAAAACTCATATGGCTGCAAATGACATCTTCCTACTCTATGAGGCTCCCATAAGACCAATTATAGAAGCAGTATTATGTCTTCTACATAGTAGATACCTAATAGATACCTGTCGGAATAGGCGAACGAATGAACAGACATGGTAAGCTATATAAACCTTTGCTAATGAAGCCCCCCAGAAGATGCCCACATCCGGATCCCTGGAACCTGTGGACCTGTTACCTTACATGGCAAAAGAGACTTGGCGGGTGCGACCGATGTGGAGACAGAGAGATGAACTGGGTTATGCAGCCAGGTCTAAAGTTACCTCAAGGGTCCTTATGAGAGGGAGGCAGGAAGGTCAGAGAAGATGGAAACACAGAGAGACTAGAAGATGCTGTGCTATTGGCTCCAAAGATGTAGTACACAGCTATCAGCCAAGGGAAGGCAGGTGTCTCTAGAAGGTGAAAAAAGGCAAAGGGACAGATACTCCCACAGAGCCTCCAGGAGGACTGCAGACCTCCCAAAGGCTTGATTTTAGGATTTCTGACCTGCAAAACTGTCAGGTAATACATTTGGATTGTTTAAGCCACTAAGTTTGTGCTAATTTGCTATAGCTGCACTAAAAAACTAACATGCTAATATTATTATAATTAGGTCAAGAAGCCCCGTACTGTGAAAACAGGCTCCTGGCTTCTTGCCGTCTTCACTGCAGCCAGGCTACCCTCACACCTCAGTTTTCTAAGCAGATACTGGGTGATTTGTGTGTGGTCATGGAGTTGCCCCACAAACAGCCAAAACAAATTTAAAAATGCAAGAAGCTAGAGGCCTTAGCAGTCCAGCCAGAAGACATTTTCTGAGGTAGCTTCTTACTAACTGATCTCATCAAAACTGTGAGTTAGGAATTTTTATCCACATTTTATAGAGGAGAAAATGAAACTCACAAGGGATGAATGATCTGCCCAGGGCCTACAGAAACCAGGTTTGTGACTCAATTTAGAAATATAAAAGGCAGTGAATTCAAGTCCTCAGTGCCTGGGAGAGACCTGATTCAAGTCTGAATCCATCATTCCTTTGCCAAAAACCTTTTGGTGACTTTCTCGTACCCGAGTCTCAAGGACAAGCACCTAAAGGAAAACACGTGACTCTTCAAGATCTGCCGCTCACCAACCCCTTCAGCACCACATCTTGCCAAAGTCCTCACAGCCTTCTTACCTCTGAGGTTTTGGTTGTCCCCTGTGGCTGACGTTTCCCAAGATAGGCCCTGGCTAACTCCTCATTCTCAGTTCAACCATCTCCTACTCCAAGAGGCCTTTCCTAGATGCCTTAGATGAGCAAGGTAAGCAACCTCGCTGTGCTCCCACAGCACCCAGTTCATACGTCAAACCCTGCACCACGCGCCATAATGATCTGGCGCCTGTCTTTTCCACTAGCCTTCAAGTCCCATCAAAAATAAGGACCAAGATTTATCCACCACTATCTACAGTGCTGGCAATATGACAAGTACTCACTACTAAATATTTGTTGAAAAAATAATTAAGGCCAGTGCAGGCAATCACGCTAAGAGATAGTCAGGTGTAGCAGTGAGGAATGCAAATTCTAGAAAAAGACTGCTCAATTCAATAACTGCTCTATAAATTACACCAGTGTGACCTCAGGCAAATCCCTATACCTCGCTGTACCTTGGTTTCTTTACCTTTAAAATGGGTGTAAAAATAAAACTTTCCTCACGGGGATATGGTGAAGATTGAATGAGTTGCTTTACCTAAAGCACCTGGCACACAGTAAACTCTCAAAGTATCAGCTGCAATTGCCCTTGTTTTGTAATTCTTTCATTCATGAGATAAGACAAACAGTGACAAGAGAGTCAACTATACCATGAAGCACAACAAAGCCGAATTTGGGAGGGAAAGGAAGTGCAGCCAGGCTAAAAATCCTCATCCCAGAAATCAAGGCATCAAGACACACTGCCTAACCTGATGGACGGAGCAGTAATAGGTATTTTTAAGTATACTACTCGGAGATGATGACAGGATAATTAAAAACAAGAACATTACAGACGCTGGAGGGAGGAACAGATGATCTAAATTCCTCATTTTTCACAGTCAAGGTCTAGCAAATAGTCACTGGGGCAGGCAGGTGAAAAGGAGGAGAGCACACTCCTTGAATACACAGAGATACATGTGGGGGAGTCCTAAACACAAATCAATGAAGACGGTTTCTCCTGGACAGAGAGGAAAGGTAGGACGGAGCAGACTTTGCTACTCATGTTACACACTACTATAGTGTTTGAATTTTGAAAACTATGTGTCACAAGTCTTTCCCACCTGACAAAGAAGAAAAGAAAAAAAAGGAAAGGAAAAAACCCCACAACATTAAAACTGAAATAAGGGCCAGGGGCGGTGGCTCACACCTGTAATCCCAACACTTTGGGAAGCCAAGGCAGGCTGATCACCTGAGGTCAGGAGTTTCAAACCAGCCTGGCCAACATGTGAAACCGCATGCCTCTAATAAAATACAAAAATTAGTCGTGCGTGGTGGTGCGTGCCTGTAGTCCCAGCTACTCGGGAGGTTGAGGCAGGAGAATTGCTTGAACCTGGGAGGCGGAGGTTGCAATGAGCCGGGATTGCCGAGACCGCTACTGCACTCCAGCCTGGGCGACAGAGTAAGACTATGTCTTAAAGAAAAAACAACAACAGCAACAAAAAACAAACAAACAAAAAACCCGAGCAAAAAAGAAAAACCATTCGAGTCCACTGAATCTAATCATCTATTATCACGTGCATTCACCTATTTTGCCTACCATGCGCCCGCTTCTGTGCTTGGCTCTAGGGAAACAAAAAAGCACAGCTGGGTCACCACTCCCCACTTACTGGATAAATGCTGTAAAGCCCCTTTACCCATTCAGTATTCCCACCTGCCCTAAGGATGGAAGTGGGAATTGGAAAGAAGGTACGCAGATTAATACTCCTCATGTCTTACCCAACAGTCTCCTGACTGGAAGAGGAATATAAATACAATGTCGGACCATGTCCCAGGTCAACAACTAAAAAACAGTGATCGAATGAAGGGGGTTGTGGGAGCAGGGCATTCGCCACAAGGTGGGAGTTGTCACCTCCCTAGGAAGAGTTGGGTTAGGAGTCAGGTACCAAACAACCGGCTGTGGAATCGTAAGCAATCACTATTCCTCTTTCTCAGGTATCAAATGCGGATAATCCCGCCCCCTTTGAGTTCAGAACTCGCCCGGAGTCCTGCCCCAAAATTCTTCGATTCTCTCCAGGCATCTCTTTCCTCCCACACAGTTCCCGGATGGTCTCATTTCAGATTCCCAAGTCCTGCCTCTGCACTCACCCCATTTGGGAGGTTCTTCACAATCAGTCGCGACATGGCGCAGGGTCCCCACTGTTTTGATTCCAACACGACTGGACGGTGCTTCCACCAACAACTTTCACGCTACCGCTCTGGGCGCCGCCATCATTGCCCAGCCGGAACACAGTCATGTGGCTGAGACCTCGGCCAGCCCCGTCCGGAAGTAGGCGTGGTTAAGCCCCAGCTACTAAGGGAAGTCACACTCCACAAGGGGCGGGCCTGGCGCTTGCATTCTGCGCAGTCGCAGGGTCTCGGAGGGATCCTGGAGACGCCAGTGCAGCGGCGAAGGCGGCCGGGGGCGTGGGTTCCCAATCTCCGCGTGGGATGGCGCCGAGTCCGCTTGGTGTTAGGGTTCTCGCCTTTTTTCTTTTATTTTCATTATGTAGCCCTAGGACTGGCTTGAGAAAGCGGGCAAGGTTAGGGACCTTTGCCTCCCTCGTGGAAATGGGGAAAGTGGGCCGGGCGCGGTGGCTCACACCCGCATTCTCAGCACTTCGGGAGGCCGAGGCGGGCGGATCACAAGGTCAAGAGATTGAGACCATCCTGACCGACATGGTGGACCCCCCCCCCGCCCCCCACCCCGTCTCTACTAAAAAATACAAAAATTAGCTGGGTGTGGTGGCACGTGCCCGTAGTCCCAGCTATTCGGGAGGCTGAGGCAGGAGAATTGCGTGAACCTGGGAGGCAGACGTTACGGTGAGCCGAGATCGCGCCAGTGCACTCCAGTCTGGCACCTGGTGACAGAGCATGACTCTGTCTCAAAAAAAAAAAAAAAAAAAAATGCCAATTGTAAATTAAGATCTGTCCATTCAAGAGAATTCTATGCAGTTGTTAAAAAGAGGTAGGTATGTAGCTGTAAACGTTTCTGAAGGAAATGCATCAGTCAGCAGGACACAGATGTATATTCAAAAGGATTTAACTAAAGACTATCTGGACAAGAAACTATTTACAGAAGTGTGGGCCGTGTAGTGGGGTGAACGATTCCCCTCCCCCAACACACACTGGGGGCATCCTGACCTCTGGAAGCTGTGAATGTGACTTTATTTGCAAAAAGGGTTGTATTAGTTTGTTCTCATGCTAAATAAAGACATACCCAAGACTGGGTAACTTATAAAGGAAAGAGATTTAATGCACTCAGTTTCACATGGCTCGGGAGGCCTCACAATCATGGCGGAAGAGCAAGGGATGTCTCACGTGGCAGCAGGCAAAGACAGAATGAGAACCAAGTGAAAGGAGTTTCCTCTTAGAAAACCATCACATCTCATGAGACTTATTCACAACCACCAAAACAGTATGGGGGGAACCACCCCCATGATTCAATTATCTCCCACTGGGTCCCTCCCACAACACGTGGGGATTATGGGAGCTACAATTCAAGATGAGATTTGGGTGGGGAGTCAGCCAAACCATATCAAGGGTCTTTGCAAATATGCTTAAAGATCTCAAAATGAGATCATCCTGAATTATCCTGGTAGACCCTAAATCCAATGACAAATGTCCTTTGAAAGGTTACAGAGAACACCATCTGTAGGCAGAGGTAGAACCTGGAGTGATGCAGTCCTAAGTCAAGGAAGACCTGGAATCACCAGAAGCTGGAAGAAGTAAGGAAGGCTTCTCCCCTAGAAGTTTCAGAGGAAGCAAGGCCCTGCTGGTAGTTTGGGGCTTCTGACCTTCAGAACTGTGAGAATAACTTTGCATTGTGATGCCATCTAATTTGTGGTCATCTGAGACAGCAGCTGTAGAAAATGTATACAGGAAGGGTTAAGGAACCAACAAAGGATGGCCAAACCCCAGGGCCCAGCAACAGTGGGGGGCTATCACCACCCCTAGGGCTGAAGGGCAGAGCTGGGCATGTCATCCCTGGATCGCAGAGGCCAGGAGCCGTGGAAGAGGGACGTACTTTAAGGACTAGAGCTATAGAGAGTTAGAGTGTGAAACCACAAGTGTGTGTGTGTGTTGGGGATAAATACCCTGTCCCCTCTTTCTCTTTCCAACTGCCGTTTCCTGCTGGAGCCTCCCCTTGGCCGAACCAACGGGAAGGTGGGGGCGTGATCGCAGGTGTTGCAGTGCACACAGTTTGCATCTAGGGCACAGAGCAGCATGGAGGAGCAGGCTCAGGGAATGGGAGACGGACGACTGGAGAAGAACTAGCACATGGGACAATCTCCAAGACATAGTTAAGTGAAAACCAGCGATACACTAAGTAATGTATTACCTATGCTGTCACTTAGGTTAAAAAAAAAAAAGGGAGGGGGTGGGTGAGGATATGTAGATGCTTGTCATATTTGTTGGCCAGAGTACCTGTAAATTTCAAAATGAATTGCCTTGCAGCTCTGGAGGCTAACACTTTGAGACGAAGGTGTTGGCAGCGCCGGTTCCTTCTGAGAGCCATGAGGGTGAGTCTGTGTCTCCCTCTCTGACTTCTCGTGGTGTGCTGGCTGTCTCTGACACACCTTGGCCTGTAGACACGTCGCCCCATCTCAGCTTTCATCTCCACGTGACAGTCTGTGTGCGTGAGTTTGTGTCCAAACTTTCCCATTTTATAAAGACACTGGTCGCATTGGATTAGAGCTCATCCTAATGACCTCATCTTAACATAGTTACCTCCATAAAGACTCTATTTGCAAATAATGTCACTTTGTGAGGTATGACAGGTTAAGACTCCAACACGGGAATTTGAAGGGGACACTATATGTGTGAGTTACGTAAGCAAAAGTGATTTTGAAAGATACATGAGGAAGTGGTAACAGCAGTTGCTTGGGGAAGGGACCCGGGAAGTGGGTATTCAGGTGGATGGACATGTCCTTTACCTTAAGGAACCTTTTGAAATTTTGATATTTCATTATGAAAAAATTACCTATTATTTTTAATACATTCAAATATTAATCATGTATCAGCTACATCTGCATATATTTATACTTAACCGAAGGGTAAAGTCAACAAGCATGTATATTAACTGTGGCCATTTCTGAAGGATTACTTTGGAGGGGTGAAGTGGGAGACTAATAAATCTTTATATATTTGTTTTGGAATTTTTGTTTTGTTTTGAGATGGTAACTGGGATTACAGCCATGTACAACCAGGCCTGGCTAATTTTTTGTATTTTTAGTAGAGACGGAGTTTCTCCATGTTGGCCAGACTGGTTTCAAACTCCAGACCTCAAATGATCCACCTGCCTCGGCCTCCCAAAGTGCTGGGATTACAGACATGAGAGACTGTGCTCTGCCTGCTTTGTTTGTTTGGAGACAAGGTCATGCTCTGTGCCCAGGCTGGAGTGCAGTGGTGTGATCATGGCTTACTGCTGCCTCAGCCTCCTGGGCACAAGTGATCCTCCTTCCTCAGCCTTCCAAGTAGCTGGGACTACACACATCTGTCACCACACCTAGCTAATTTTTAATTTTTTTTATAGAGACAGAGTCTGGCTTTGTTGCCCAGACTGGTCTCAAGTTTCTGGGCTCAAGTGATCCTCTTGCCTTGGCCTCCCAAAGTGCTGGGATTACAGGTGCACGCCACCATGCCTAGCCTGTATATGTTTTAAATCAGAGATTGGCAAACTTTTTCTCAAAAAGCCAGAGAGCAAATATTTCAGGCTTTGTGGGCTATGTGGTTTCTAATGCAACTGTTCCACCCTGCTGCCGTATTTTGAACACATCCAGAGCTAACATGTGTGGCCGTGTTCCAATAAAACTTTATTTACAAAACCAGGAAGCCAACCCATGAGCTGTAGTTTTAAGTTACAGGATTACGGGGTATATTGGCTTTCTAGGGCTTCTGTATCAAATTACCGGAAACTGGATGGCTTCAGACAACAGAAATGTATTCTCTTGCAGTTCTGGAAGCCAGGAATTTAAAATCAAGCTGTCAGCAGGACCATGGCCTCTCCAAAGGCCCGAGGGAGGAGGATCCTTTTTTGTCTCCTCCAGCTTCTGGTGGCAGTAGGGACGCTTTGGCTTGTGACTGCATAGCTCCCATCTCTGCCTCTGTTTTCACATGACCTTCTTCACTATTGGTGTCTGAGTCAAAAGCACTTCCCTAGGCTTCTTCTTAGTAGGACACCTGCCATTGGGCTTAGGACCCACTCTAAATCCAGGTCAGTCCCATCTCAGGATCTTTAGCTAATGATATAGACCGCTTTTCCATAAAGAGTCACATTCACAGGTTTTGGGGATTAGGATGTAGGCATATCTTTTGAGGGGCTGCTATTTGGCCCATGAGATCTGCTTGCTTGGTAGTAGTTTACTCTGAAGATCAGATTTCACCCTCTCTCTGTCTTGTGTAGACTATCCATTCAATTAAAACACACACGCATGTAAAAATGTACCCTCAAGCCTGGAGTCCATGACTTATGGGTCACTGTGTTTCAAAGTCAACAGATATTTATTGTTATGTCTTTAATTAAATAACTGGAGGGTTGTTTCCTGCACAGTGTGATATTTAACAGATATTTATTGATATGTGATATGAATTAAATGACAACTGGGGGGTTGTTTGCTGCACACGGTGACCCTGGTTAGGGTGGGCTGAGGCAGGCTTTATGAGGCAGCTCTGAGATATTAGCCTTTTACAAGAAGGCCAGTGTTGCCCAGCCAGTCCTAGTTTCATGTACTTTTACTATTTTCATGAACTGCCTTTATTAAAATGTACAACTCAATGTAGCCTGCCCTAAAAAAATTCACAAATCAGAAGGTCTTTCAAAGGTATTAAAAGAAAATGGAATGCCCGTTACAAATCCCCACATCCCAATTCTGGGTCCAGAAAATATGGTCGCCACATGTGGGGAAGAGGGACCATTCTCGGCCATATATTCCCCTGCATTTAATAAGCAGCCACGTTCTAACATTATTACTAGTCTTGCTGAACTCCAGCCTTCCTGTTTTGTCTCCTGCCTCCTTTTTTCTCCCAGCAGAACTAATTCAGGGGCACCAAGATGCCACCAGGCCAGGCTCTGCAATTATACCTAGAGGTTTAAAAACCTTAGTGTCGTCTAAGCCAGCTCCACCCCTGGGCTTCATCAGTGTACTTCTTTGGGAGGCCAAGGTAGGAGGATCCCTTGAGCCCAGGAATTCAAGACTAGCCCTGGCAATAGCAAGATCTCGTCTCTTCAAAAAAGTATGAAGATTAGTGAGGTGTGATGGTACACGCCTGTAGATCCAGCTGCTTGGGA